GCTTAACATGTTTTTTCATCTTGTGAGCATAAGATTGATGCAAATAAAGAGTAAAGATTTTGCAGATGAAAACAAAGGATTTGTTTTTTACTTATTAACATGCTTCAAGTTTCACATTATCACATTCAAAACAAATTTTTTTAAACGATTTAATTGTATTTATAACATATATGACTGTAAAGAGTTAATTTACAATTCTAATAACGGTAATTTCAATCTTGATTATGATTAAGATTAAATTGTCATTATATAAGAGAGTTCAAAAAATGTCTTATTGACACTTCAGAGTTGTATCATTTAGAAAATTCTGTGTTTCAGTATATTTAGCCCTGAGTCTCAAACCACAAATTTCAATTTTGAAGCATGTGGTTGTACTTTTTCTATTTATTTCATGATTGAGTGCTTTAACTACTATTAGAGTGATAAGAGGTTTATTGATTTCACAAATTTGCATGAAAACAAGAATGTATTGCACAATACATTGATGACAAGATGTTCTATAATAATGCACGGTAATAAATATTTGACTTCGACAATCATGTGCACATGAATTTTGAATGTGGCAAAACTCACATGCACATTCATCAACAATTATTGTGTGAGTGAAATTAGTGTTTGCCATCTTGTGCCAAACACTTTGACCGAGCAAATGCGTGGATTTAGTTTTGAAGGTTGAGACTTAAACGTTTAATTCATCTTTACTTTATGTTGTGGATATAGTAATCTCTGTACTTATATATTTACTCTACGCAAAGTTATTGCAAGAAATTTGACATAGTATACTACTTAAACTAGATATAACAAGATATAATATGTAATAAATTTTTTTATTTTTTTCAACAAAAATAGCAAAATCTCTTATAAATTCTACTTATGCTTCTCATATGAAACCTATACAATAGCACAATATCTTAAAAACATTCCAAACTATTAACTTTGATCAACACATAAATTTAAATAAATTTACATTCAATTTTGTCAAAAATTGTAGTTGATTCTTGCATATGTTATTGAAGGATTGATTATTTGACAAAATGAACAATATTTCCACGTGAAATAATAGAATCATGAAATAAAAAATGATGAACTTTGCACTCACTAATGCATAAGCTACATTCATGAGATTGATGAACGATATCTTTCTCCCTTATTTATATAAATTTATCATTGTTTTCATAGATAAATATTTTGGTATATAGCAAAACTTTCTGTGATTATAGACATCATTTACGAGAAGTATTCAAAGTTTTGAGATACAATGAATTGTATGCCAAAGTTTCAAAATGTGAATTTGGCAAATCAAAAGTAAATTACTTGGATCATAGAGTTAGAGTCGCAATAATCTAAGTAATGAATGAGAAAATAAATGTCATTAAAAAATGTATAGCACTTGAGGATCAAACTCAATTGAATAACTTTTTACGTCTCACAAGATTCTATCGTAGATTTGTGAAAAGTTGTGCTTGTCTAGCTCAAGCGTTAATTTTTATGATAGAATAAGGTCAAGAACAGATATGAGTAACAGCTATAGAGTTAACTTTTCAAGCATTGAAAAAATCTCTTTTATACGCACCTATACTCAAGTGGTATAATTCTAATCGCCCTATCAAGTTGGCTACATACGCATAAGGTACAACAATGGATGACATATTACAACAAAAAGTAAGAATATATGACATCTAGTTGTTTTTTATTCTCAAAAGTTAGTGACAAAACAAAATTATCACACGACAAATGAGAGAAGTTAATCATTGTGTTGGCGACAAAACATTGGAAGCATTACTTGAGTGTTAAGAAGTTTGTGATGAAGACTGATCATAAACCTTCAATTTATTTAGAAACTCAGAGAGATTTGTTCAAACGACAAATTTGATAAATAGAATGACATCACCTTTTCAACATGAAGATTGTGTATGTGGAGATCAAAAACCAACTTGCGCATGCTTTCACATGCATGACTTGTCTGAATCATAATACCAAAGTGAAAATTGAGACTGATCGGTGGAGCAAAATGACACAAGCCACAAAGAAGTATAAAGATATTACTCGAGCACTACAAACTAAAAAAGCGAAGAAGTCTAGTGGTTTGACGTTCTACAAATAACGCATATGTATTCCACAAAATCAAAAATTGCACACGATGATTTTGGCTGAAAGTCATGACACAGCCATTGCAAGTCATATGGGACACCACCTTCTCTTCCAACCATGATAGCAGATGATGATGCGTTTGAGTTAGAAAAGGATCTCAAGAATTGTATTCAAGGTCATAAATATTCCAAAATACAATATTTGATTCAATATAATTGCTATATATAATATAAATCAGCTTTGAAACCTGCTAAAAATTAAGCGAATGCATTTTTGATTGTTTTGCAGTTTAAACGTCGGTGCAACGAGTACAATTTGATCGATTTTAGAGTATTTTTATAACATGTATGAAATTTTGATCAAGCAAATTTATTTTGACAGGGTCAATCTAATTTCAAGATACTATACTCATCCATCATCTATTCCTCACCCTCAAAAATATCCTTATTATGCATATCGTCAACTCCATTGGATGTGTCAACGCAATCAAATTCATCAATGCTATCATCACTCTCATCCTCCTCCAGAGAATAGTCTTCAAGTTTAGCTTTATATACATGGTCGAGGTAGAGCTGCATTAGCCATTTGCAAAACTTTGTATCCTTTGTTGTAGAGATTTGACGATCAAAATGTTTCAAATTGAAAAGAACAAGGTTTCCGATTTCAATCTTGTGGTTGCCTAACTGAGCTCGTGAACAACAATGAACATGTTTGACCGCTTTGTGATTGCGTTCATCCCTATTTGCCCTTGTCAAATTATTGTGCAATGTAGATAGATGATCATTGATGACACCATAGTAATGATCGTCGAATAAGATTCACAAATTAGAGGGCTTGAAGGTGATGTCGTTGAAATCATCATATTTGTCCTTTGAACTCACAACAAACATGGCGAACTCAGTGAAGAGTTTTCGTCGGACCTACTCATGACCATTCTCGAGACGATTGAGTGTGGTTTTTGACTCCTGGTTGATCCAAGACTTTTTCAAATGCAAAATTTCTTGGTTGATCTTTATCACAATCCTAGTATGCATGGATGTGAACAATGTATTAATAGCAACTGCCAGAGCATGGAACTCAGTATAAAATTTTGAGATGCAATGGTGAATCATCGTTACAATCTGGTTTATATCATTATCATTTAAATCCAATCCGTACTTGATAGCCAAATTCAGCGTTTTAATGTGAAACTTGATGACCACAAAGCAGGCATACACAGCTGAAAATGTCGATTCATCTTACTCCAAATATGTTAGATATGAGCAGATCGATTAAATTCTACTGAATTCTACCTTGGCGGGTAAAGACTTTGTTTTTTTTCTTGTGAAACAGAGATGATATTCCTCAGATAAATAGTCAGCTTCACTTGGATGTAACATAAACTAACGTAAACTACGTCTTGTTTGCAGTCCAAGACTGCAAACAAGTCGTAGTTTCACTCTGATGTAATAGAAGCAAACGTGAATATCCACTTGTTTACAATCCCAGAACCAAGCAAGACACATGACTAGCATTTCATTCACTGATTGCTCGCGTGCAGACTTGATCTTGAGCTTAATTCTTGTTAATAAATCCCTTGTTGAAATTCCAAAGAAGTTAGCTAGACAACCCCATGTAAATATGATATTGGAGATAAAGTCCCAAAATATGTAATATTCTGAAATCTCACAGTTCTGGTAATCGGCTTATTACAGATTTTTTATTATACAAGGTAGTTGTGGAAATGTTGTGTAATACAGCGATATAATACTAAGTGTATGATACCACAATTATACGTACTTCCATAGTTGTGAACGGATAAGCAATCAACGTTTTTTAAGTCTAGGTATATACTGCATCTAGTTTTGAAGTTATGTGCAGCTATGAAAGCCGACTTTGATGTTTGTGAGAAAGCAATCTTGTTATTCTAATATCATAAGCTACATGAATATCATTCTTGTTGAGTAATATTCAATTTTATTGTGATCTTTGTGTATCTATTGCTCTATAAAGAGCGTTAGCTAGGACGTTCGATAGGATTATTACAGTATGTTTCTTTAGATGCAATTGCATTATATGGACAGTTGGAGAAATAGTATGACTTATTACAGAGTTAACTGACTTTGGGGCCTACATAATTTTCTACGCTTGGTTTAATCCATGGACTAATTGCTAATTACGTGGTCCATTCGCCGTACTTAGATCTTCAACTCCTGTTACGCGAAGACAAGCTCGGAGGTCCAGCAAGGACCTTAGAGATGGTCGACGTGGGATTCGCTTGAGCCGCTGCCCGATCCAGAATACTTTCCTCTATGTATGCAGAAAAAGCCAGCGTACACTCAGAAGGAAAGTGAAACTGGCATCCAGCTTAAAGCAATCATATAAATCGCTGGTACTACTACTTTCTGAGGACAAGTGAGAACATGTAAGACTCCTGTGGGATTCTGCACACAGAATGGGATGCACACAAATACTACGATTGGATATATCTCATAGGTGAAGTTTTCAACTCTTCAGCGCACATATTTACACGTTAGGTTATGATACTACTCGTAGTTTCGTGAAAAGAGAAGAAAAAGTTATAGCTTTTTTGGTCACAGAGCATGGTATAAGGTTAACTATGAAAAGGTATCATTTTTTAATATTATCAGGGGTCATACCAAATCAAATCAAATGACATTTTGTTACTTTATATCTCAGCTTTCAAACAGTACGAGGCTATTAAAAGCTATTATCAAACGCAAGGCAATCACAAGAGGAGTCAAAAAATAGCCGAAGGGTTTCATGTTTATCTTGTACGAAAAATGTTTAAATGTGATTTAATGGTCTCCACTTTCTCCACGTCGCCATAATAATACTAGAATGTCCGATCAATGTTCAGAATTTTCAATGCCACATGAGTGATTTCGGCACAAATTTTGAAAGTGATGAAAGAACAATCGTATGTCATCCAATCAGTTCCACAAATAATACAGAGCTCACAAATGTTATGAAAGGCATTATTACAAATAATTGTTGGGACAATTATATGAAAGATGCTGGCTCGCCACCAATTGGCCCAAGGGAGCCTAGATACTTTGGTCTCACATGTGTTTTCTCACTCCACTCATGTTAGATGAGGAGGAGGCACATGGCACATCACCAAACAATCCAATAGTGACTGGGAAGGACATGAACCACAAAAAAATATATGACTTGGTCTGATACAGGTTTTCCACCTCGTTCTCTTGCTCGTGCCTGGTTGGATGAAACTCATCAGCCTTCTACATTTTGAGAATTGTACTCAGTAGCAGGTCACTGCAGAGTGAGCGCAATACCAAAGGTGAAGGTATTATGGTCAGACTGGATGCCCCAGGGTACTTTTTGAAGCGTTCAACTCTAGCAGTTGTACAAAATCTCTTTTGCTTCATGGTGTAATCTTTCGCTTCAATGATTAAAAATACTTTTCGGCCCATGTACTGCAGTCTATAAAATATGAGCAGAATGAAAATTCAATATTTACCGATTCGGAGAACAACTTCTTGTAAGCTTTTGACTGTAAAGTGCAGGCTAGATTTCGGATTAGTCTGCTCAGCTGCCTGTATCGCATGGACTGCTGCTCGGGGTTCATAGAGCAATGAGTGCAGCCGCAGAAAAAAGAACAAGGCTGCCGCAGGATGTTGGTACAATCCTGTACGAGAGAAAGGGCAAGAATACTGATAAGATGCTTATCCATCTTCCTGTTAACGATCTTACATTGAACAGTTGTGACCTATAACGAGCGCTAGGGCGAGCCCATCGCTTGCTATATCGAGGAAAACATTTGGGGCGTGCTTATCAGTATTGTTAGTTTGAAATGTCAAGCTCGAAAAGGAACTGTCAGTTTGTGGGAGGTGATAAGAGAACTCTAAAGCTGATCTTTCGTGAAGTCTTTGAGTTGACCAGTTTCCCATGCGCCTCCAGTTTGGTACAGTTTCAAAAGAAGTGTAACGAAGAGCAAGCCAAGTAAATATAGCAAAAAGCGTGATTGAAGACCCCATCCAGTCAAGTCGTGAGTGGAAGACTGCCAAGACAGCTGCATTCACCTCCCGCCTGACATTTCTGCATGCGTAATAGAAGCTTTTCTCTACGAAAGCGCTACTGATTTTTTTGAAGCATGAACTCATCGACATGCACATGGACTATTTGTGTATTAACGTCTGGATTTCAACTTCTTAGGGAGGAGAGACAAACTTGTAATTTTACGACACCTTGACGAGGTGCAGACTGGTCTCGTAGGCACCAAGGGCTCTCTAATCGGACAGCCAAAATATCTGGAAATATTATCAGTGAGAAGTATAAGCCAAACGAAAAGTAAAAGAGAGAAGGCCAAGACATGAAGACCACTAAGAATCAGAGAATATCCAATTGAGATCGTTGCTTCCAAAGTGACATATGTTCTGCGCACCTAAAAATCGGGCGAGTATCGATGGTCGGTAGAGATTCCGAAATGAGTAGTTTGATTCCTGTTGCATATGCACAATTGTTTTTATCGAGTTAGGCTGGGAGAAATTTTCAGAGGCTTGAGTAACTCAATTGAGAAGTAGCCCTACGTCAGATAGTTATACATCCGATCACAGAAAAAGTGCTTACATTCTAACGCGGATCCTCATGCCACATGGAATAGAATGACACTATTCTCACTGGCATTTCACAATTCAAATGGCTCTGAAATGTCCTTTCAAATCATTACGGCAAGGGTGCGGGTTTTTATTTTATAAAAATTGAAACCCCTATCTGGAAATCTTTGTCTCGTATCAAAGACTAGCGAGAGCTAGTAGTACCAATCACTTCTGCGGATGTTCTCGACCACATGATGGAACTGGGGAATAGCCCATACTTCGGATCATATTTTCCTTGTTAAATGCACAATGTATATTCCTTGGTACGTCTCAATGACGAAAGAGCTGCACAACAATCATCATATGTGGATAACAGTTCAATGTACGTTAAACACTTTTTACTTAGAAAAGCCGTCTTCGATCCAGTTTTGCATGTCTTCAGACTATCTCAATAAAGGCTCACAAATATTTCCAACTAGGCAGAGATGTAGGCCGATCAGTGCCATGCATTCATCGATTCTCAAGATTGAATTTGAATATGCACTTCCTGCATCCACCTATCCTCTAGTCTAATACCTGGAAGTAGAGCTGGCTTGAGCCAAAGGCTAATGCAGATGCCTGGAACATTCTGTACTTGAGCTATCACACACATACTGGTTCACTCATCATTAACTCGTGAAACAAAATCCATCGAGAGATTCGGTCTGCTCTTGGTCCAGACTCCTGGAATCTGGAGTGCAACACAGAACGAATCTGAACCCACATTGAGAAAAAAATTGCGCATTCACATTTACTTAATTAGAGAAGAATTATATATCTCGGTAAGCGAGTTATCATATACATAAAACGAAGAGATGCACGGGTAGTGCAGTGAAGATTCTGCGGTAGTATAGAAAGAACACGTTTCCAGATCATGTGTTCGTATATCAATAAACTTGACTCTTTCTACATTCAGTTTAATTTCTCCGTTTAAAAACGGTTGGTCGGTTTTTTTCTCAACTATACATGCATACCTTTCAGTCATAGAGTCCCCTTCAAAGAGAGTAGCGAGCTCATTGACTCGGCCTCCATGGGAGGATTCGCTGTACTGTATGAACATCTAACAAGTGAATGATTATAGAGGACGAAACTACAACTCACCGGTTTTTTCTCTCTTACCTCGAAAGTGGTCCAGAACCTGGTCAATCTTTCAGTTACGTCACACCCTTCGAAACAGGCACTAGACGTCGGAATAGAGGGGGTAAGGTAGTTTCCCTTAGGGTGACACTCTTCTCTGCTATTTGGTGTGCTTTCTGTTTTTTTATTACTTGGTCGCCTTGAAGCACACACTCAAGTTTATCTTATCCAACTTTTTGGAGATTTTTCTCTTATGTCTTGTAGCCAATACAGTGAGCAAGAAAATGTACAACATTGCCTGAAGCAAGAAAAGTGACAAAGTTCAAGGTGCACATTGATCCAACATGGTAGTGCACACACTTGCGTGGCACGGGGCTTCGTCCATGGAAGCAAGCGTATCTGAACCTGGACCCACTCGAAATACCACGTCCTACGATGTACGGGTTCCGAACACCGGTCCTGGACTTCTGGTGCCATGCTACCAAGTATTGCAAGGAAGGCATGGGGAACATGGTACGCCGAAGCTGAGACATGTACGAGTACTTACACTACTGGATAGGCTGGCTTTGCACCACCACAAAAGGCATCCAACGCTAGACGGACACCCCATGATTGAGGGACCCAATCTCAACCGCATTTGGGTCTGGTGTTTCATACTCGAGGTCTTGACTGCTTCGGTCGGGCACTCGAGAGAACTCGCAGACGAGTACCAAGAACTTAGCCTAGCTTGCAATCATGTAGTTGTTCCGTAGGTCGCCAGGAATTCCTACGCTGGTTGGTGTTGGTCCGATATTAGTGATGTGAATGTACGTGGAGAGACTGTGGTGGAAAGATTCCAGGAATCGTCTACAACCCATCGACTTCTGACACCGTGAACGGAGACTAGGGAGGGATAGACTAGATTTTGTATTCAGAAAGTTCAGATTTACACCATGGCTGTATGATGAGGGGGCGTTTTGTAAAATCATCACACTAGCCGGTTGCAGGTTTGGCTCTCGAGAGTCTAGGAAATGTCCAGCTAGAGTGCGTGTGAGAAGTGGGCCTTGGAGGTTTGTGAGTGTTCATTGAAGGGCATGGGCGGAGAAAAGGTAACCAGATCTTTATCTCGAACCATGTGCTTCAGCCAATGCCAAGAAGGCATGACCAGGTGGGAGATCTGGCGAACAATGCATTTCGTATGATGAGCATGAGGAGCTCGAATCTACCAAATCTTTTTCTCTCACCAAATTGTAGCTCAGAGTGGGCCAGCAAACATCCGTGAGGCATGACTGTTGAAATTGTGGCCAAGTCAAAAGTTTACTGGAGCTGTTTGTGCGCACTGCTCTTCTGAGCACATACATTGACAACCAGATCTATCTGCGTTAGCAGTCCATCAGCAAATCCAAGAAAGAATGGCCTGAGGTAAAGCAAGGAAGATGATTAACCTGAACTCTCCTTTGTCACATACGGTTACAGCATCCACTGGGAGCAAAGATGGCAAAAGCAGTGGGATACAACTAAGTACCAATTTTGAGATTGAGATTGAGCTGCAGCGAGTTCTGAGGTCTAGCAAGGAAACAATCGAAACAAGAGATCTGGCCTGACCTGTCCATCATGAATATGCTCAACAGACATGACATATCCTGTACGATGCCTTATGTCTATCTCCACCAGCGGCCTATCAATGTGGAACAAAACTGAAGCATCGACAGGCAGCTCGTGACCTTGGCGTGCGTACACTACAGGTATCGGGCTTGATGGTGGATAGCTGGTAACTTGATGCACAGCAGGAAGACACAACCACATTTTTCCTTGGACTAGTACGCAATTCGTATAACTGATCTTGTATGTGCTTTCACAAGTTCGTGTCCGAATATTGATCCCACCATATTCGATTAGCGCGGAAGAGTACACAAGTACAAGACTGAATATTCTCATACCAAAATAATGTTTCTTACCTGCGAGGAGAATGAGAATATCTTCCATGAGGTCGTGAAGGAAGGAGCTTACATGCACTGTTGACGAGGATCTGCTTTCACAAGTTTCCAAGTCAGTACGTGCTGCATTGTCAATGAATGGTCAACCACTGTAGACAAGAATTCTCTCGTGAGTCGTCGATGTAAAAGCCGAATGTTTTCTAAGAAGAAGGTTGAACGCTGGTAATACTGTACTATCACCCAAAATGATTTAGTCCAGTGCTCACGGGTAACGAATAGTGTGTATGTTCCAGACAGAAATCTGCTGAAATCCACATCGACTGGTAAATATCACATCACCCGTCGTAACGTGGTAAACTTGGAGTAAAATAAATAAAACCAAGACATTTTTTTTCCCTGGCTGAGGGTTATCGTTACTGGACACCTCAACAATATGGAGAAAAGAAAAAGCTTTTTCTGCTCAATTAAACAACAAATAGAGAGGGTGGAATTTAAGACCATGAAGAATAAAAAATTGGAGAGAGTGTCGTGCAAGTTGAGGACTGAGAAGTTATCCTTTGCTCCAATCACAACTGAGCAGTTGGACCTGCCCTTGCTGCCCACATGTGACGCTGATCTCATGCTCACGGACCGACTCGAACATCATGTTCGCCGAGAAGTGATCTTAGCATTCAGAAAGATGCCTTCACGCCTCATGTATAGGATCCCCTTCCCACAGCATAAATAACCACACATTGTGCACCAGACCAAAGGAATCTATATTATACGCCTCCAAAGACATAGGTGGAATGTAGCTTCAGATTTTGAGCAAAACAAAATTCATATTTCAGACTGCGGGGCCAACACCTTCTTCCAGACAGTGTACAGTGAGAGTGTGTAGTGATGATCCACCTTGTCTTCTTTTTTCTTTTAGGTTTCATGTCGAATGAAACAGACCGTCGCAATCGAGCTTAGAGCAGAAGTGCGAGCCGACTCCCACCTTTTTGGCAGACCCCTCATCGGGAAGAGACACTATAGATTTCCTGCCACTCTACAGTGCGCATTTTGAAGTTTGTGGGTCGGTTTTCTAATGTTAGCAGCAAAGCTCGAAAAGGTGTAATGGTGATCCACTATGGGGAAACAAATGACAAGATGCCCATGTCCTACAACATGGCCATCCTCTGCAAATTTGAAAGATGTCGTTGTTTTCGATGTCTTCCAGAAAAGAGAGCTCGAAATCACTGTTCGATTCCCAGTGATCTCGAACTCGTGATCGAACTTTTCCGGTACTGTCCAGCCCATCGCCCATAGAGACAAGGGCGAGGATGATACCCCATTCTCGGGGTTTTCAAAGTCGTGTTGAGAGGGATGTTACCTGATTTTGAAGCACTGCAGACACAGCAGCAGTAGGCTTTGATACGTTGCTGATCAGATTAAAGAAATTCAACCTTTCGGATGTCGACAGGTTATGATCTGTGGATTCCAAAGATTCAGATGATATCAGAGTTGTTTTGCCGCAGTGTGGTCAGCTCCAGAAAGTGACTTAATTCAGAAGCGGAGTGAAAGTGACGAGACACCCGGTACAACTTAGCTGGACTGGTCTCGTGAGGGCCATCGTACACGAAATAGACCTTACAAAGCGAGTTAAAATCCCCAAACAACCCAAGGACCTAAACGGTGGTGTACAAAGCCCACGTGAAGGCACTCATTGTTTTGCGTGCTAGATTCAGATTCAAGAAAGTGAGATTGTGTCAGAAGGTGGAATGATGGACGATTCTAGTGCAACACGGTTCAGTGGTGTTGGCAGAATGGTAGTTCTACAGATCGGGCAGAAAGGGCACCGAGGGGAGCTGAGTTCTCGACCACGACGGTGCAAAAGGTAAGTCACCCGATCTAGTTGACATTCGCTCGAGGGCAAATTCGTCCATGATGCAGGTGGTATATTCCAGACGGGAATGTGGTACAGTGACGAAGGCATGCTCAAAGTTTGCCTTTAAGGACCTCGTTGACACTCTCATCCGGTGTGGGGTGGGCTTTCGTTCACCTTTGGATGGAGAGTGTAATCATGCAAGGTTACGTCACGAAGAGATTTGCACAAGGCGCACGGGCCACCACAACTAAGCAACTTTGAAATTCCCACTAGAGAACTCCCCGTTCAATATCCGGACTGAAATTTCATCTCCATGGTAGTTGGAAAGCCGCACAGTAGGCAATTCTGTTGGCAGTATCAACGTCCTGCCGAAAAGTCGAATGAACCCACAAACCGACGTGGATAAGACAGTTACAGTGGTAGAGCCGAACGATGTTTTCCACTATTTTACTCCCCGACCTTCACGAGGATGTTCTCATGAAGGCTTGAGGACATGCAGGGCACCGAACACGGCAGTTATCTCGACTACAGAGTCTTTTGATTCGATCGACAACTGATTATTACACGCTGGAATATTCTCGAGAATAGCGTGCCCTCTGTGCCCTAGTTTTGCAGTGCCTGCACCCCGTTCAAATTTGCAATCAGTCCTGGTCTCTGGTCTCGATGACCATCGCCACTCAGATATTCCGGAAAGGATTGGCTGCTGGAGGCGGAAAGTTGCACAACCTAGAACGACTTTCCAGAAAAAGGCGGAAAAAAACGACGAGTCGTACGTGTGCTTCTACATTTGACTTCCGAGGTGTACCTACAACTTTTCTCCTCATCAGCACTGAGCCCCTCGAATTATCTCGACTCAAATCCAGTCCCGTCCAGGCGCGCATGATGGATCTCACTCACACACTCCACCCGGCACATATTCTTCTGTCGCCCAGGATCCTACCTTCCGATTGGAGGCGCCCATCATCAAGGAGAGAATCATTTCCACGCTATATCGTAGTTAATTGAACCGAGGGGCCCCAGCCCACACTTCAGCAGCGCTGCGAAGTTAGGGCAGTGGTGGGGAGTAGGACCCACCCCGGGACTGACCACCGAAACTTACAAAGCCTCGCATGCCTCGTTGCATCGCCTCCCATCGCCGGTGCCACTACTCTCCACATCCTCAAAGAACTGAACACTTTCCGAAGAGCTGCCTAGGGCCCCCGCCGAAGACTAGCTCATCCATCTCTGACTTTGCGCAGCTCGGCTCTGCTCTGCTCAGCTCGACACTCCACATCCTAGCTCCTAGGACGAGACACCGAGATCGAAACTGCAACTGATTCTACCCGATTCTGCGCGCAGTTGTGCCTAAAGCCTGCAACATGACAGATCCAGAGGTGAAAAGCACTGAATCAAAGCGTGCAGTTATCCTCTGCTCTACCGATAAAAACCGAACCCTGACCGAAATTTTTCCTGCGGCCTGCCTGCCTGCCCCGGATCACAGAGCACGAGGGTCGCTGAGCTGCTGAGGGCCGCCCCTTACCGAGCCTACTACGCCCGCACACCCCGCAAAGCAGACGGGTACGAGCGACCTCTACAGGCGAGAGAGGCTCTTCGGGGACCGACGACAGTAGCTCAGTCGAGGGAGGGGGTCTAGTGACTGCTTTGCTGCGCAGGATTTGGTAGAGGGCTGACCGGACTGAGCTCCGAGGCTCCGACCGCCCGCAATGTCGCCGGCGACGTGACCGGCCGGCGGGCAGAACCGACCACCGGTCGGAGAACATTCACGCGCTGCGACCAGCAGAAATTGCCGACTGAAAGCGCTTTTAACCCTAAAGCCCTCATACTGCTCACTCGATCGCGTGCTTTGATCGCCCGGTCCCTGCACCTCCCTCCTTCCCTAGTTCACTCCAATTAGCATAATCTACCATTGCCTCGAAATCTGATACCAAGTTAATCCCTTAAAACGAAATACAATATATGTTTGTGAAAGGATAAATCTTTCTCATTGGCACAATAAATGATATCTAAGATGTTTGCGTTCATTAAAGATTGTGTGCATCTTAATCAAACGACTGTCGATTTGACATCACTGTAATAAAAAATCACAGTATAATTATGCATATCAAACTCAGTTGAGATAGACTTTTGAAGTTTATGGGAAAACAATCTCATCATTATGTTTTATTTTGCTCATTAAAGTATATTCAATGTTTCCGGAATATGGAGTTTCAACATTTTGATGTAATGATGAATGAATATAAGATCTGATGTCAAAATCGATTGCATGAGATCTTTCATGGGCATTCTCTTAACATTATTTGAAATGGTTTTTCTTTATACTTTACTCTTCATGATGCCCTTGTGAGTAAGTAAAGTTGTATGTTTAAGTTCTGAAAGTGGTCGAGAATGGATGAACATAAAGGCGACGTTTGTTTCATGCGTTTGGGAAGTTTATGCCATGATTAACGAATCTGTAATGGTGTATCTTATTTAAGTATTATCCAGTACATTTTTCATTTACCAAGACAACTAAATGCAGAGGAAATGCATTCCAAATGTCATGAAACCAAGGGTAGTTTGAGATTAGTAATCATTGGCATCATAGTGAAAACAATGTCAAGTTATGTGTAAGATACTTTGCAGATCAAATATTATATATATCATTATAATATTTGGTTTATGAACTGATGCGTTCGAGATCTACGGATTGCGTTCGTATATACATGAATGCATACATGGCTAGTAAAGCATGTTATAAATACGATAAGAAAAGTCAAATGATCATATCATATAGTATGCTAGTATATCTTTCAACACTTTTTATGACCTCCGATCCTTAGATCGAAGAAGTGATATTCTACGTATTCGGATACTTTACAGCCTCAGGTTTAGTCCAGCCAATCCGCCCCCAATTAGTAAAATGGACAAAAATCTCAACTAGAATTGTTTCATGTGGATACTGCATTGGACTACTTTACACATCCAGCTTATGATAAATTATAATGTATACTTTATAATTATTTCTTCATTTTCAAAATATTCCTAAAAATAATTTTTTTCAAGTGAGATGCGGATCATGCAATGCTTTTCATCCCAAGATACTGTAAAATGAGCTGTACGAATGATTGTATAAATTATGTTATTCCATAAATTTAAAGTTATAGTTCACACTATTTTGGCACGTCTTTATAAATTACATTCATCACAATATATATACGAATTTTTTCATGTCTCGTAAAATGCTACATAAATGTGTTTCATGTTGGAGAATATTGCATTAAAAATTTAAGGTAGCATCTACATGATATACCACAAATGTTATCAGATGTTAGGTCATGATTGTTTCATAATTCATGCGACTAATTAATCTAAAGTTGCGTTAGCATATTGACTCCATCTGTTTAGCCTTGAGATTTGTGAAATCACGCATTTCCTGAAAACTACCTCATATATTTATTGATAATCTTTTACAATCTACATGGTTTCACAGGTAAGGGATATTAGAATTGTCTTGTATATAGAAAATCCATCCGTGGAACTCAATCTAAAATTTCGAGTCTAGGAATCGTATCCAGCTGGCAAGACCGGGGCTAGTTCATGATAAATATATCCATTTGAGTTTCATTGGCCAGTTTCTGCAGGTGCGAACAAAGCTCCAAAGCTAGGTATGGATTCTTTGAACACGGTCAAATTTTGTTTATAATGAAATCAAGTTACTTAGCTAAACGACTTTTTGCTGCATTGGATCTATTAGTTGAACATATGCTTGGAGCAGTAAAATCATTTTTTCCAATATACATTGTGTAGATAACCACGCCCAAGTAGTCAGTCAGCTTATGGAGATTGCAGCCATTTTAATTCTACATTGGTGGTCGAGAGCACGTTGAAGATGTGCTTAAATTGTTGGGCTGATTTTTGAAACTTTATTTGTGAGTATGTGATGTGAATTGATCAAATATATACATGAAACTAAAATTGCAATTCCACCACACATCCGGCAGAGCAAATTGTAAAATAGAGCCGTGGTCCAACAGGTACAACCAAATTTGTCTCCTAACTTGTCGTTCCAAATACTACATGTGTGTCCATTTGGATACAAATGCTAAATTGTAGCAAGATGTTAAATTTTAACCCTATACCCACCAACAACTTTATGTCTTAATCCTTAATTAATGAATTACTTATTTGTACTTACATGTACGGAACAAAAATGAACAAAAATTTGCTTGTATACTGCCCATTGTGGTCGGAATGTCGATCTCATCGTGGTTGCAAGATTATGTCGAATGTCAAACAGAACACAATGAAATGGCCTTCGTGAAGTTGAATAGCCGAACCATTTGTATGTCGAAGAATGCTGGACAAATTGGATCGCCATGCTTCTCCCCATGACATGTTGGAAGCGAAGAATTGTCGACTATGTAAGTCGACAAACTTAAACTTTTAATCTTCACATGTCAACTTTCGGCACACGCCTAACTCTGCCTCTGGGTTTGGGGTTGGGGTTGGGTTTGGATTTGGGGAGGGATTGTCGAGTAGGGGAGCGGTGTGGCAGCGCTGGGAATAGCGGGAATAGTGCACGGCGGATTCGCGCACACCGCCTTCTGGGGGACAAATTAGAGCGCGGAAAGAAGGAGGAGGAGAGTGGCATCCGGTTTTGGGCGAACTAGTATTGCTGCGCCCACAAATAAACGCGGGCCTAAACCCTAAACAGTCTCGCATCCTCGGCTACGGTACTGCTGGTCGTCCTTGTCGTCTTCGTCGTGGTCGTCGTCGTCGTCGTCGCTGCTGCTGCTGCTGCTGCTGCTCGACGAGAGAGAGAGAGAGAGAGCGAGAAGCACATTCTGCTCGTTTCTGCACAGTCCAGTGCTCTGACTCCGAAAGGATATATTGCTCGTGAGACGATCGCTGCGATTATTATAACTGCATCAGCAGCAGTGGTGCATAGCTGAGAAGGAAGGTGACGGGAAGGGGGAGGCCAGGGGAGGGATTCCAGGGAAGTGCAAAGAGAAGGTAGCGAGAGAGAGTGAAGAAAAGAGCGAGCGCTGCGAGCGATCGCGATTGTTGAGTGCAGACGAAGAAGAAGAAGAAGGGGAGGAAGAAGGTGGAGGAGGAAGGATGAAGTATGTCATTGTGACTGGGGGGGTGGTGAGTGGGCTTGGGAAGGGAGTGACGGCGAGCAGCATTGGCGTCGTCCTCAAAGGATGCGGTCTGCGGGTCACTTCTATCAAAATAGGTGCGTCGGTCTTGCTGATGAATTTGACGCAGGGTGCGAGATTGTGCTGCGTCCGGATTCCTCGCTCGCTTGATTCTGACCTCCGCCTGCTTTCCCATTCGATTTCTTGTGCCGCCCTATCGTCGAAGATGCCGAATTCTCCCTTGTGCGTCGGGAGTGCTCCCCTGGCCTCTCACTGTCCGGAATTGTTTCGGTCTTTGACTGCGCCGTGCTCGTACGCTCTCTGTCGTGTGTGCAGACCCTTACCTCAACACAGATGCCGGGACCATGTCTCCATTCGAGCACGGAGAAGTGTTCGTCCTCGATGACGGTGGCGAGGTAGGTGCAATTCTGCGCCCCGTTTCGATTTGACAGTGTCTTCAGCCTTTCCGGGAAACGATGAATCTTCACTGAGGAAAATGTCACTAGAGATGGAGCCCGAAGTTTACACACACAGTACGGATGGATCCTGCAGAATTGGGCGCACCCCTGATCTCATACTTGTAGACCCGAGAGGTGGGTTCTAGCCGAAGCGCCCGAATTACTTCGCTGTCACGACAAGCGAAATTGAATTCAGTTTCGCGTGTGTATCGCATTCCCGATTCTGCAGCTGATACGGAGTCGCTGCCTGTGCACATTGACACTTGGGACGTGCCAAGAGTCCAGGGGGGAATTTTCCCGCCTGTGTCTTTGAAAATTGACGTCATTACACGTCAAGAAAGTAACGGTGGAGCTGAAATATGTACTTTTCGTTGGTGACAAACACCTCTTTCTTTGAAATCTTCACCGAGTAACACATCTCGAGGTTCGGGATTGGTAGCGCTCGTAGCTGAGCGAACGAGCTTCCCACCGTTGGATGTCGTCTGGCCTTCCCATGTGAGAAGAACTGAGCTGCCGCACCGAGGACCACTCTGTGTGAGTTGCACCGCAGATGGTCAACGAGCACAGAGACGTCTCGGGAAGATTATCACCTGGCCCCCTCAGTAGACGAGGGCGGGGTTTCCTTTGACTTTGCTCTACCTCATGGTAACTGACGTAGAGGCTCTTTCACATTGGGTGATGTGAAAATACATTTTTAACAGTAGGAGGTCGAACTTGTTCCTGAGAGCTGATTCTCAGAGGTTGCGTCCTCGTCATTCTGCAGTCGCATCCCTTAGGAACGTAACCACCTGACATGTCTCGTCAATTCCAAGTACTGGGACGACGCTGTCAATCACTCTCCTGTTTGTTCCGGACGAGTTCTTGAATGTGGATTTTAACTGGTGGATTTCTCACAGCTGCTTGTGTTCCCTTGAAGGTTGACCTGGATCTGGGAAATTACGAAAGATTCCTCGACATTACTTTGACCAAAGACAACAACCTTACTACCGGCAAAATTTACCAGGTATCAACATGCGGAATTTACCCTCTGGTCTCTACCTCTATTTACTTGTTCGTACTACAGGAGCTTCTCGTTAACAGGTCGTTCATCGAGACTCAGAACTGAATGGGTCTAGCGAGTAACTAAGCTCCTTCACGTTTGATTGCAGTCTGTTATCGATAAGGAGCGAAAAGGTGACTACCTGGGGAAAACTGTTCAGGTTCGTGAGCTCACTCAGCATCGGTTCTGTAGGCAGTGTCGTGTGTCCGCCGGCTTCTGTACGGATAGATTATGACGCATAACTTTTGGAGAGGTCTTCGTAATATCAATTTTTATGAAGTTTTGATATATTTGTTCTGATGTATAGTCCGTGTACTTATCGCGCAGGTGGTGCCGCATATCACCAATGCGATACAAGATTGGATTGAGCGTGTAGCTAAAATTCCAGTGGATGGCCGAGAAGGGGAGCCTGATGTGTGTGTCATTGAACTCGGAGGCACTGTCGGTAATTGACTAAGAAATTCTAATTTCTTTTGCGCTGGAGTGTGTCTAACGTCGCAATGTGGAATCAAAATTCCGTTTAAGAAGGAGAATTCGGTTCACTTTCTTAACGCTGAAATGCTGATAGGTCAAAATTAGTGATCGATCATCATGACTCAGCTTTGGCGTTGCGGCGGTCGTGCCCATCTAAGATATTTTCTCTTATATGCAGGTGATATTGAGTCTATGCCATTCTTCGAAGCCTTGAGCCAGTTTCATGATCGAGTCGGTAAGTACCTCCTGCTCCAAGAAAGTAAGGGCGAGAGTCCTAAAGAGCGGAAAAGCCTTTGTGCTTTGACGGTCAGAAGTTGGCTCAGCTTGGTTTAAGTATCTCGACGTCTGTAGATAGATCCATGAATTTTTGTCAACACTACCTGTTAGACCATGGTGTTAAAATACTTATACATTGGTCAAACTCACTCATGACCCGTGCAGCTTGTCTGAATGGTTGGCATACTAGTCATACTCATTTTCATTAGAAGATGATCCTGGAATTTTTCCACGGTTTGATTATTTACACTATCACGTCTTTGTTCTGTACAGGTGCGGAAAACTTTTGTCTCGTTCATGTGAGCTTAGTGCCCGTTCTTGGGGTGGTAGGTGAACAGGTATGCACCTCTAGAATGACCTGTCAATTTAAACGAAGATAGTATTTGCAGAAGTTTTGATGCGTACTCGGTCTACTTTCTAGTTGGAACAAATTTGTTCCAGTGCATTGTTCAGTGTTGGGTTTTGTGACCTACTTGCATCTAGATTGGTATGCAATGGATCAATTGTTCGTGGAAAGTTGATAGCAATCATATTTGGCTGAGATAAAGCTTGCTTAAAAATAACACATTTAGGCAATTAGCACACCTGGATAATTTATGGTAAACGGATAACACAATAATTTCGGGATCGACTTCCGTTTCTTCTCCGTTGTCTTTGTCCTACGTATGTTGCTTGTCTTAACTCTTTTATTGTTTTGCACTCTCTTTCCTTGACTTTCTTCCACAAATTAGACCATACTCCGTTTTCCTTCTACAACTGTCCAGTTGCCTCAAGAGGCATCGTTGTGGAACGTAAGAGCACTCGAGAAGATTAAGTTCAGGTGATTGTCGCCTCCTGCATGGAGCTAATTGCGTGTTTGTGTGAGCAGAAGTCTAAACCGACCCAGCACAGCGTGCGCGAATTGCGAGCTTTGGGATTAACTCCTTCTCTCTTGGCCTGTCGCAGTGCCAAGGTACGTTGTATGACGCCCCGCTGCATCTAAGCTATGGTCGTTTTCCTTGTAAATTTTTTTTTTGAACCAGCATTTCTTAGTTTAACAGCTTATTCTACGCATTTGCAGCCTCTGGAGCAATCGACCAAGGACAAGATTTCACAGTTCTGCCACGTTTCGGTGGGTCTCATCAATGTTTTTGCCGCCCGTGACTTGTCTTGGTCAGTGAATGCTTCGTAAATATTGCAGAGAAAGTTTGAAATACGGACGAGATGTACTGTCTCATGTTCGTTGGGTTTTTGTGTGAGATGGGCTTGTTCTGTTTCTGATCTTCGTGGCCTTGATGACCTCAGGCCGCGCACATCCTCAACATATACGACGTTCCCAACATATGGCATATTCCTCCGCTGCTAAGGGTATGCCTGAAGTTGTTCATATTTACCTTATTTTTGACTTCAAGAGTCATGTACAAATTTTACGACACTCGACGTCAAGGCTGCATTATGGTTCTGGAGTATTGAAGACATTGCGTGACTAACATGTAACGTTTGGAATTTTCAGGATCAAAATGCGCATTTGGCTATATTGAAGAAGTTCAATCTTTTCAGCCCCAGGTATCATAGAACACCACACTATCGTCTGCTGTGAGTTTCTGCACTGTATATGCGGAAATAAAAGTTTGCGAAATATGTCATCCTGGATGCGTCACCTCCTGTCATAGTTGCAAGACAATTGTCATCAGGCCCTGTGCAATGAGGTAACCACTGCAGTCGACCTTTGGAGGGAACCATTATTCTTTCTAAGCATTTCATTTGTCTTTCCTGCAGCAAAATACCTCATCCCGAGCTTGGCGAATGGGAAAAAATGGCTGACGGCTGCGATAAACTAACCGTTCCGGTCGGTATTTTGATTCCCTCCTGTCTCGTTATCGCTCTACTCCCTTAGGTGAATTCGAACGTCAGTCTATAGTTGTCGAAGTCTGAAGTTACGTGATGAGTTGCATGAGGAACGTGTTCGTTCTGTTCCTACAAAATATAAGATAAATTTCTATTATGGAATGTATTTGCGGTTGTCTTTCGATCTTCTAAATCGACCATCTTTTTTTTTCAAATACATCGGGGAATACTTGATGGTCATTACTGTAACTGAGGTCCGATCTTCTGGTTTCTGTAGGTCGCGATCGCAATGGTCGGAAAGTACACTGGGCTTTCGGACTCTTACCTTTCTGTCATCAAGGTAATTATCGCCAATTTATGGGGGACTTGGTTGGTCGTGTTTGTGCGATGGGATGTGTATGCAAGTGCTTCTCTACTTAATCCTAGCAAGAACATTTTAATAGAAGAAATACAAGTGTATCTTTGAAAACTTTATCGATATGTAGTATAATCACAGGTTTGTCGCATGTGCGAAATAGCCTGTATAAAAGTCTCGACTGCGATGCATTGAATATGATGTGTCACATACATTCAACGGCGGCTGTTGGTTTATGCTTTGTAGAGTTATCTTTCGTGTATGTAAACTCAACTGTTCTAACGATTTATTTCCAAAACTTTCCTGTTATAGGTTAGATCTTGTCGACATAATGATTTAGTTTGGGCCTATGATGATTATCTTCTTGGATACATATGACGCTCCAAAAATGGGCTTCACATGTTGTTTCCACAATTGTCACTACCTCTGAGGCACTTCTAACTACAACGTAGAGATAGCATCCATCGCACTTTGAGTGCATGCGTTATCTCTACGAAATGAACTTTTTGAATAAGGACTTGATTTAATTTCTGAGATATGCTCTTCCTAAGAATACTGTTACCGCCTATGATGACCTCTATTATGGAAACAAATGGTGTTTTATTGAATTAACCCAAATGCTGTTCCACTTTTGTCACTACCACTGAGGCGTTTAAGATAACGTATATCTGGGGAGCAGTTGGAGCCTTGAAATTGTTTACACTAGCTGTCAGATCTCTAGTCATCAGTAATGTTCTGACCCGAAAACGTCTTCCTTGTTTCCATGGAACTTAGTGAAATTATGATCCTTAGTACATTGCTGATTGTGTTCGTTGAACGAATATCGTTACCGAATGATGCAGGCCCTACTACATGCGGCTAACGCATGTTCAAGAAAACTTGCACTCACTTGGGTAGCTGCGACAGATCTAGAAGATAGCGCCAAGGAGGAAGTAAGACCTTTTCTAGCTTATGTTTTCTGTACATTAGTAATTTTTTCTAAAATTTCCCTGTACATTGGTTTTTCCTTCTCTTCAGATCTTTCTTCTCTTGAAAGTATCAGCTTGCGTGGTCTTTTCCTCCTCAGTAGTGAAGTACGAGCATATTACCTTAACTGTTTTGTTTACGAAGTGAATTTGCTCATGGTCGAAATGGGAAGGGCCGCGGCCGTGTTTCAATTTCAATACTCATTGTCATTATAGGGACGAGCAGATTCTCATGTCTTCTTCTCTTAGTCTTTGACCTGAGCTTTATCTATTGTTTGTTTTGGCAGAATCCAGCTGCACACGCAAAGGCATGGGAAGACCTTAAGGTATGCTTTACATTTTTGTTGGATGTAGAACCGGTTGTGTTTCCCAAGATGGGATTAGTTCCAAGCGTAATCAGTCAAAGTCTGGAGATCGACCCTTGTGTGTGTATGTTTGTGTTCTATGTTTTTTACTCCAACCTGGACCTTGACGAGTTTGTTTTTACTCTGTAGAGTGCGGATGGGGTTCTCGTCCCTGGGGGTTTTGGTGACCGTGGAGTCCAAGGAAAGATTTTGGCCGCAAAGTACGCTCGTGAAAACAAAGTGCCTTATCTTGGAATATGTCTGGGTCTCCAGATTGCTGTCATTGAGTTTGCACGCTCGGTAAGTGAACTTGATACACGCACATAGAGGCGTATTCTTCTTGCAGCATCGTGGTAATGTAATAGAGATGTGTTATAGCTCAGCCAAAAAAAAAGCGCCTCGGTTAACGTCGCATGCCCCTCTAACAATGTGTACTAGGTGGTCAAGACTTTTGGTTTTTGCGGCTGATCATCCATCATATATGGAGAGAGTCCCACGCCATGGCTAGATTGTCTTTGAAAGTTTGCCGTCTGATGAAGGCTTGTATAGGATGGTAATTGTAAACATCTTCGCAATCCCGTTACTCACCAGCAATGTCTAACAGGTTCTGGGTTTGAAAGACGCCAACAGCACCGAATTTGATGAAGCTACATCTAATCCTTGTGTTGTCTTCATGCCCGAGGTCAGGATACAGTTGTGAAAGTCTACCAATTCTCTTGTATTCATCTGAGGAAGTTTCCATGATGCCAGTTTACGTACGTGCTATTTTCATAAAGGGCTAAGTGTCTTTAGGTTTCGATATTCGTCTCAATTACCGTATCATACCCTTGACAGGTAAATAAACATATCAAGGGTGGGACAATGAGGCTGGGTGCGCGTCGAACGTTTCTGCAAACCACGGATTGTATATCTGCAAAACTGTAAGTTTTCCTTCGTAACTAGGAGAATGGGGAAGTTCGTGATGTTTTCATCTTACAGTGAAGCGATATTATTTAAACCTGATGTGGCCTTCTTTCATTTATGCTTTTATCTAAAGGAATCAAGGAATGGGGACGGTGTCACAGAATAATAGATACTTACAGCTAAGTTATTTTTTCCGTGGCAGTTATCAGCAGGAATTGTACATTGATGAACGGCACAGACATCGATATGAGGTAGACATTGAACCTGTTTCAGAGTTTTGTTCCTAGATTGGCTTCGAATTTCTGATTCCCTGGCTCTGATATGAAGATTGGACTGATGATTCGAATAATGAGTTGTTCCCATGGGGAATAGCCGCACTGAATCTTACATATATGATTGTTCCCAATGCAGGTGAATCCTGAGATGGTCGACAAGCTTGAAGCTGCCGGTCTGAAATTTGTGGGGAAAGATGAAACAGGCAGGCGAATGGAGGTATACTGACTTTTGCCTTCTCTTCTTGGCTGGTTATAGAACCTTGTTAAATCTGGAAGGATATTGGATTTTGGATTTTAGCAAACGTGGAACATAACCCACGAAAATAAAAAATGAATTATATTCGGCTGTTTTGCGATCGAACTTTTCAATCCTTTTATTCATATCATTTGTATCCTCACCTATGCTTACACTCATCAGAACATCCAGATTGTAAGAAGCATTTGGAGGTGTCAGTTTGTCACAGTTAATGATAATATTGAAATTAAGTCGCGATAATTTTATTCGATCGTCTTCAACATACAACATTCGCTCAGAGTTTACTGAATCGTTGAGGACATTTTTGAGTAATTTCTTTAAACTTTTCTCAGATCATGGAGCTGCCGGGACACCCTTTTTACGTCGGTGTACAGTATCATCCCGAATTCAAGTCACGGCCTGTCAAGCCGTCAGCAGTATTTTTAGGTGAGAATGAAATGACTCACAATTTCTGTTTGAATGTGATCGGGAATATGATTTCCAACTCTTAGGGTGAAGGTATTCGCTTTAAGGTCGGCGTGGTCTATGTAATTCAGCAGTTTGTACAGTGAAGAGATCACTCATGTGACTTTCGACAGGTATAAAAGTTTTGTGATAGGGTGACTTTTCATACTAGAACCTCTATTGTTAGACTGGATAAGATCCAAATGAAACCATCTCCACGTTTTGAAGTCTTGCAATCGTGTAATTAGCCCTTACGTTGTCCTGATTGTTCTTCACATCGGCCTGTTCATTCCAGATACCTGACTGATTGACTGATTGTCTAATTTGTTCACGCAGGTTTGGTCATGGCTGCTTCTGGTCAGATGGAGACCTACCTGAAGGGCGATGGAGGTGTTTTGCGTACACCGTATGAGCTTTCGACGAAGAAAGCTTTGCCAAAAGCGGTGTATCAAAATGGACATGCGAATGGTGTCGTAGAACCTGTAAAAGCCAATGGCACCTGCAATGGTGTGCATTCAGTAAATCTCTCCAACGGAGTATCAAGATGACATGGATATTTGGAGGACAATTTTGATGAAAGATCGTTCCTACAGCTGCGCTGTCATTGGAGGAAAATATTTCCCACCAAACAGCAACTAATTTTTTTTTGCACAATGAGTGTAGGCAGATTAGTGTCCTCAACTCGGTTGTAAGCCAAAGGCTGCCGTTGAGCTTCCAATTGCCCTGACTTGTAGAGACTATCCCACTGGTTCATCTGCTTTTCAAGTGAAGAGCCTTGCCCAGTGTGTGAGCACAGGGTAAGCTCAAAAACCGCAGTTGGGACTCGCGAGACCCTTTAAATGTAGAGCTTAGTCCATCATGCTGATTAGCAGGTTGTTTAGGAGAAGAATGATCTGATTTTTTGAAATTTGTTACGAGTTACACGTTAGCACTACAATCAGCTTGCTTCTTGGGCCGGGAATGGGACTGCAGTGCATAAGTACCGAGTTTGCATACGGGTCTTGCAAGAATCTCCATGTCTAATCGTCCATTTCTGATGGATGTAGCCTTCTGAAGGCCCCTACAATGGGACCTGGGTCATCAGGACTAGGATTGCTGGTGGGCATATCTGCCTTAATCTTTCCCAGGTCTGATATATGAACCGTTCGACGTGAAGTCGTATATCTGCAGATATACGTAACCATGTTAGCCACTTCTTTAGAAGCAGCTCTCTCAAGCTGCGTACACATCAGTTAGAGCCTCTCTGAATACTACCCTGCGGGTATTTCATGTGCATCTGGAATCAGGATAGGAAAAGGTGCTAGCTACTTGCTGTTGTATGTCTCTGCTCTGTACACCCTTTCTGATTATTGAATAATACAATTTTGGATTTTGATTCGCATTTGGCTCACGTATTTGACTTCAGCAAATTCATGTTTGGCCAGTTGATTGACATTCAACTAGGGCTGTCCGTGTCACATTATTTGATTGCCTATGAAGCGTTTGGGTTGTATGGCCTCTTAAGTGTATCACGGTGTGCTATAATTTTTTCTATTTTGACAGACTTTTGGGAAGCCGGTGGGTGGAGAATATCTCGACCTTCGTCCGTAAAGGGTTACTGCACCCAGACACATCGCCAATTTACAAAATTCACGCCGCATCAGTCAAGGTATGCAACTCCTCTTAGAATACTTGCATGTTTGTCTCAGTTAGCCCGACGTATTTAGGTTAGAACTATACGAAATTACTGTAGCTTTTCCCATTCACGACTTGATATTTCATGTAATCAGACAGATATACTTTCAACCGTCTCTGAAAGAACGATTCAGGACATCCTGATGATTGATCGATTTCAGCTGCAACATATAGTAAGTAGTGTGTCATGCTTTTGGTCAGCACTGATCAACCTCAACCCGGTCAACTGTTAGTGTTACATTTATTAATTTTCTTGGAGATCCAGTTGAATATGCCCGTCATTGTAGGTTATCAGCGCAATGTGGACTAAATCTTTCACATCGATTACTTTGACTAGATTTTAGCATCGATGAAAGCAGAGTTGTCTCGTGATATCCACGAAAATATTTTTGTGTAAATTATGGATCATAAATTTGTTTATAATAATTCCTGTAAGAAGTTTTCAGCTCCAAGAGCGATTTCAAGGAAGGAAAAAAAGTCTTTTTCTTCCTCTATTTTTGCTGGTCAGTTCGTGATTGCATAGTCATTACATCTTGTCTATCTATTATCTATGCTGCAAGTAGACTGTCACTTCTGAGTAGGCCTGTCTTTCTCTCTTGTACTTCGTCATTACTTTACAGGTCAGGAAATATTGAGCATTAGCGTTCGAGCTTTGAGTACACTGTATTGAGCAAAAATTCTTAATGACATACATCAAACAAACCATGTTACTTTCATCAACCTGAAACATTAAACTGGAATATTCTCAACGAATTTTGTTCACTCTATTGAAAGTAGAAGCGATGATTATTTTGTTGTGTACTTGTGTAACAGAAGAACGGGAATGTTGTACCTGATAAATTATATTTGTTTTATAGTCATGTATTGAGTTCATTGCAAATCCACAAAGTTCTTTACATGTTGTTCGACATATATGTCTTTAAACTCAAACAAACGCCTGCAATCCTGAACGTTAACTTTTCAATTAACAATACTCAATGCTCACATTAGTCGCCAATTTACCTCACTTTCATTCGACAATATGAAAGCGCGTACCTTTTAATGTATGATAGCATTACAACACTTGATCTTGCCTCTTCACATCTTCTGGACTCAGAAGTAAGAATAATCCTAAGATTTTCTTCATGCAGTTACAGAATTCCTCGTAATGGTGGTCTTTAGTCTACTCTCGAATGTTGAATGCTTGAAATCGGATTAGTATTTGTACCTGTGCATCATTTCACCAAGTCACCAGATAGTCTGAACTCTTGTGCGACAATCTTGTCAATTGATGTCATTCACTCTCTAACACACAGATAATTCATGATAATCGTTACTCGTTTTCGAATATACTACTTTACGAACCTTTGTATCCCATCGGTGTAAACTACATCTACGTTTTTCCTTGTGTAAATTCTTAGGCGGCAAATGCTCCTGATTAGCTTCTTCCTCATCTGTCGAGATTGCTTCGTCTTGGAAAGCCCCTTAGATGTCGAGATTGCTTCGTCCTGGAATTCCCCTTAGATGCTCTTGAAGCACGGACCATAATTCATGCATACATTTTTAGAGATATTCTATTTCATAATATTCGAAGAGAATATGGATGTCATCGACATTCATGATTAATTGTTTGAAATTGCAAATAAGTTCCAACCATATTTTCTTCCATTTATACCTATGAAATACAATATGATAGATGTATCAAGAAACTAGATTTCTAACTCCAAGAAATCTAGTTTCTTGGAATCATGAGTGCACGAAACTCTCCTTACTTTTCGGGAATAATTGGCGTAGTCCCGATATTAACTTACACCATTACCCGAAAATAAGGAAGTTTGTGGCTTGTGCTGGCCAGTTTGGTTTTGATAGGATTCTCTCCAATGCCTGTGAGAAATTGGTGTGATTGGCATATGGTGATACCATATAGTTATGTCATTGGTTGTCTGAAACAAAAACAATCATCATCGTATTTTCACGAAATATACTTTATTTTATATTATTCGTCATCATGACGAATGATTAGTGCCAATTAATTAGTCACAATTAGTTTTCTATTAAAGACTAGAGAACTAATTGAAACTAATTTTTGGGTAATGGTATAATTTAATATCGGGACTGCGCCATTGATTCCCGAAATTAAGTAGAGTTTCTTGCACTCATGAGTCACTTACCTGTCATATTCTATTTCATATGAATAAATGGAAGAAAATATGGTTGGAACTTATTTGCAATTTCAATCAATTAATCATGGATAGCGATAAACTCGATGCCATACATGTACTCTTCAAATATTATGAAGTAAAATATCTCTAATTCGTGTATACATAAAATGTAAACATGAATTATAGACCGTGATTCAAGTGCATCGAAGGGCCATTCCAAGCCGATGAATCAAGATACCGCAACAATTTCTTCTTTGCATTCGATACATGGAATGTTATGTCGCTTTTTGACAGGCATCATGTTTGTTGCAAGCGATCCAGGAGCAAATTGGTTTATAATGTTTAAGAGTTTGCAGCGATGTCATGACATCGAATTATTCAAGAATCGTCTGCGCTGTATTACTCAAATATTTTTGCATGTGATGTCGCAAGTGTGGATGTTTTCCATCGCTTTGAATTGTTTTACTCATCAAGAGATGTCTTATGTCGATGTTAGTTCTCGAGTGAACATTGAATCTAGTATCGAACACTTGCATCTTCAGGTTGTACATTTGTTTGATAAGCACACAACATCCAACTTGTTCATTATATTGGAGAAGTTTTTGGATGCATTGCTTCCTAATTGGCGGAACCATATTATCGAAGTCTCCACTTATGGTGATCATACCATGACTGGGCGGTTTCGCGGGCTGGCGATTCACATTGACAAAGTTGAAATGTAACTTTCGGGCTGATTCTCATTCAAGTTTACCTCAGATGGCTTTGCGATAACTCATCATGGTTTTAGAAGATTAGGATTATCACTCATGATCATGTTGCAAACATACTCTCACACGATATCTACACAATTTATCACTCAAATTCATACACACACATCAACACTCCTAGATGCCAAAAAATGGTTATTCTTCCATATATGAAACAAGTCTCTACACATGAATTCTCTAAACTTGCTTGAGAGTCTTATTCCTAACTCTACATATATACCACTTGAAAATTTACCATAGTAACAAATGATAATCCTATCTAACTTATTTACAAAGATGAATCTTAGTAGATTTGACTACTTACCAATACATGACAACATGCCATTGGACTCTTAAACCTTCTAGATGTTTCTAATTATTAGATTGACGTGGCGACATGCCATTTGTGCCTTTCCAACTTCTAGAACCTCAAGTTGCCACTAAGTCAACATTAGATTTAGTCTAGTCAACGAAGTACTCATTATTTAGTCAAACCAATCAAAACTAAACATGAAGTCAAAAGTTTTTTCTCTTGAAATCTAGACTTTTGTACAAGACAAAATAGAAATTCTCACTCAAATTTTCGAACACTTTTCTAGTCATTCAGTCAAGTATAGAAATTATAGCTAACCATAGTTATAACTTGTTAAATTTAGTTAAAACTAGCTAGACTTAGTCATAACTAACGAGATTTAATCATAAATAAGCTAATCATGATTAACTCCTTGGCTATTTCTAGTTCTATTTCACACATACAACATCCGGTCTTACAGCCCAATCAAACATCGTTCGAGTCTGATGCGGATTACATCAACTAAATCTCAAGATGCTGATTGTCTTTCAAAGAGGGTTGAACAAAGAATTTGTTTCCATACTGACTTCACTGATTGGATATTTGCGTGGTTAGTAAAACCGAGCCATTGAGATGAAAGCAACCTGTCCCAAAGTGGCCAACACTAGCCAGCTGTCATTTAAAAAAGTCTTAAGCTAGCTGCGAGGGAATCGCTAGCGAGTTTGACAATATCTGGACGAGAATCAACATGTGTGTAATACCCTTTTGATATGATGGATGTTTCTATTTGCTCTGAATGCTTTTGTTGAAGAACCGACTCCGTGTTTGTCTTCTTACAAGGCTTCAATACTTTGTTATCTCAACAACGTTTCAGTCTTTTGGCTCTGGTGGAAACAAATTTCTGAATGGATGTAGTGAATGATACATTATCTGAGGTATCAATCAGTTTGATTACTTGACAATTGAAATCTGTGGCATATTCGCGCTTACACATCGTCACGCTTGTGCTTGTTTGGACAGTTTGGGTGTTTGGATGTATGACACTCTTGCTGATTTACCAAAGATAGATATCTGAAGATTGGTTGTCGCTGTTGCACGAATGTTTGTCGAGGGCGCAAATAAAATTTCATCAATTGTGGCTGGACGTGATTTTGCTAATGAAGCCGGGTAGAAGTTACCTCCATTCTTACCTTTTCATCTCATCAAGATTGATATGAGAGTTTTCTCAAGTACTCTTCGTTCACAAAAGTACCGTTTGAAGAAGACGTACAGCGATAAACAAATCAACAAGATCGATGAAGATTTTGTCAAGTTGAAGCGGACAGACCGCAAAAAGGTCACATTTAAGGATGTTGTGGACACATGTAATGAAATTGAAGATCAACATAATGTCGTGCGAATACATATCGCCATACACTCTACATCGCTGACATGCTACTCACATACACACACATAGGACACGAGAGCGTACACACTCAAATGTACCACAATTCGTCCCCCTAGTTGGCGGTCAGGTCCCTCTGACT